ATTTAAATTTTTAGAACCTTTATTATTAAGGCAACCGGTTGCCTAATTTGTACCAGATGGTTTCGTAAATTATACTATCCTTTATTACATACATAATATTTTATTTTGGATTAAAATAATCAATCATTAGTTTTAATAGTTTATTAGTTAGTAAAGATTTGAACAACAAGAAAACTGAAAACAAATATAAATTCTGTTAAAATAAAAATAATGAAAACGACCTTCTTTGGTATAAAAAAAATGCTGCAATATGTTTAAGAGCACATATCACATATGTTATTGTCTGAAGCATTTGCACATGATTCATGTACCCATTTTTTACATCATATGCATTGAATCATATCTTCTATCAAGCATTCCTTACAAATCTTGCAGTACCATTCACTTTTCTTATAATTTACGGATACTAAAATATCTTCATTTGTTGATGATGATGATGGTTGTTATAAGTCGTATTGTATTTGAGAATTTTCTTTTTTTGGCCTCTTTTTTGCTTTCGAAATTGATTTTCCTCTTGCTGGTTTCTGTGACATCTCAACCCCAAAATTTCGTTAAACAGCTCTTTTTTTCTTCTCTTTTACGGAATTTTGTTTTACTTCCAGTTACTCTTTATAGGGAGTGGATATAATAATTTCAGCCGTCTGTGCGCTCTTACCCATTTTCTGTTTTTTAGCTTCACTAACATCAGGTAAAGGAAGAATATCCACAATTAACACATTCAAATTTTTGGTTGTCTGTGTTTCGATTTTTTCAGTGTTAACGTGCTCTGTAAACATCTACCAAAACTTGAATTTGTGGTGGCTCTCTAATATTGGAATTTTCTTCCAAAATTTCGATTGACATCGTCTCATTTGAAATATTTTCTTTATCAGTCTATAGTTCTGAAGGAACAAAATCAGCATCAGAAAACGCATCTCTATTTATAGGCCATATTCCACATTTGCAAAAACCGTTCGTAGCATTTACTATAGCAGCAGCTTTGTCATAAGCTTCATTAAGAAGAAAAGCAACATAAAATTGCGTAACTCCCATTCCAGTATGTTGCCTTAAGCACTTTTCAATGGCTTGATTATAGTATGTTTCTAAAGGCTTGAAAACCGAAACATCTAAGGGTTGAAGCCGATTTGTCGTGTAGCCTGGTAATTATAAAAGGCGATTTTAAATCAGATACTATGTCTTGAATATGATTGACTACACTGATATAAATCAAAAACAATGACGTCATATTGAATATTGTCTTGAAATAGTCAAGTTTAACATGACTACAGTAAAAACGTGGTCATCACAGGTATGAAATGACAAATGTAAAACTTTTACTTTTTAATTATTAAATCATTGTTTGGTTGTGTTCTTTGTAAAATAGAAAGAAAGATTTACGAAAGGGAAAAGTGAGACAATGGTGACGATAGGGTATCAGGTTAAAAAAGCAGGTATTTTTATAAAATATGCTCCTTTTTTTGTAGAGATCTAAAAAAAGGTCCTTCGCTTATATTTATTTAAACCATCAGATTCCTTTTTCTGAGCTTCTCAAAAACAGGTCAAACATTGTCAAAAATATCATTGTATATAACTTTAAATTTAAAAAACGTAGCAATAAGGTGAAATGCGGAGCATTTTTGTACTTTGGCGTAACGCGTGCCATCAAGTTAAAAAGCGGGACAATTACGCCTAAAGCGCGACGTCTGGCAACCCTGGCTGAGTACCTAGATATGGACGCATTTAAGGTTTCTGCAAATGAAAAGCCAATTTATTTTCAAGGTAGGATTTATTAATGAACATGGCTAAAGTTTTGATAAAATTTTAGAGGCCAAAGTAACTATAATACCAATTTTCTCTTCATCCATGATCAGTAAACAAAACAAATATTTATTTTTTATTCCTACAAATTCAAAAACAAATCCTACTACTATTACATAACACACAAATAAAAATTTATAATATCTGCGCCAATGTTATACCCATTGTGAAGTTAGTGTCAATATAAACAAAACATTTTTAAATCAGATTATTAGAACGTCATTATAATGACGTAAGAACCTTGACCACACTTGACTTGGTCACATTTCTAGTAACTGATTTAAAATCGCCTAAAATATTTAGACCATTGTCACGGGCCAAAACTATAGCATCATAATTTTTAGAATGGGTAGTATGTCCTTCCAATACCAAAAGAACTTTCATTTTCCTTTGTAGGCTTAACCACTTTAATAAATTTAACCAAGTAACAAATAGCTCAGAGTTAATGTAGCTTGTGTCTGATATCTCCACCAAACAGCCAGGTGGTGCTCCAATGGTAAGTTCTGCTGACATTCGTTTTCTCTTAAATATAATCATTAGCGCGACAAATTGACCTGAGGCACTTGCGCAAACAACCATCGTAGTGTTGACACCTCTTCTCTGCTGGCAATAGTACCAACTTGATGTTTGCCTTTTTAACTAACATTTTTTGATTACTTTCTTGGACTGTCGAGAATCCTGACTCGTCTACATTATATATTTTTGTGGCATCTACTTTATTTTCATCGATCATTTTTTCAAGTTTATTAAAGGAATATGTAACATTTTTTTGTTAAATCCTCTGCAACGTGCTAATGACGTTGATTCTGGTTGCCTTAATGAAAGGTTTGGGTGGCGTTTCATAAAATTGTAGTACCACTTCTTCCCACCTATACCCATTCTTTTACTAAAATTACGTTTTATAGAATTTTTTTCTGCGAATTGAAATGCTGCTCTTTTGGTGTCCTTAATGGTAAGACCAAAGAATATTTCCTCTAAAGCAAGAATATGTTTTTCCAGCCCTGCTTTCACCTCAACAGAGAAAACTGTAGACCTACCTAATATTTTATTACCATTTAAAGCCCTTTTATTCGTTGCTACTAGATGTCTCTTGCAAGTAGGATTAGGAACTTCGTACATGGTACATATTTCATTTAGATCATATTTTTCTGTTTTATATTTTGCAATGGCTTCTTTCATATTTTCCTCTGACGACTGACAATATTTTCCCTTTCGTTTTCTAAGAGGTGGCATTCTAAAAAAAAAACTTGCATGAGTCGTTTAAATTTTACCGGTACAAATTAAGAAACACCTTAGTGGTCCACATTAGGCAACTATACAAAATTGGAAACTTTGTGAGGTTATATTTTAAATTTGTACGAAAAGGTGCTAAATATAGTTACTTTAAAACTTATATTAATTAAATCGTCCTAAATATCATAGATTTTGTTTTAAACCTTAAGAAAATGTAGTCGAAACTTACTTGAAATATGTATAAATTATTTAATCACTCTTTGCGACACTCTCTTTAACTACTAACCTTCAAATACATTAAAGTACCTCGTGGCAATAAAAGATGACGCTTAAGGTATCGTTTTCTTTAAAATTCGGGAATGGTATAATTTAGGAGCTGGTACAATATAGCCGACTTTCCACTAAGTATTAAGAATTTAATAATAGGTGTTAGATTTGTGAAGGACTTTGTTTATCAGAGTTGAGCGAAAGTCCGGAATAAAATTTTCCCAACTTTTTTTTTCAAATGCGAAGGTTTTTTATTCAGTTTTTTTTTTAAATAAATAGGCTTTGTTTCATTGCAAAGCATGATTTTTCCTGAAAATTTCAAGTTATTGTCATGTTTGTTTATTTTAAATAACAGTTTATTTATTAATAATTTATTTAAACACTTATTTATTTTATAACACTATTATTCTAATTTATATATATTTCGAATGTCTTTAAACTGTTCACTATTTATCTTCATTGTCCATATATCTAATTAATCCCTTTCGTTGATCCTCCACCTATATTTATATACAAATTGGTGATCTAGAATGCTCCTCCACCAAAACATCACATATCCGGAATATACCAGAATTATTATTACGATGACTCAGGAATGTTCGCGAAAGTGCCTCAGCCATATTCGTATCATATATTTGGTCTTAAGGGGTTTAATTATGTATGATGATCGGACAAGTTGAGCCTCAAAGGCCAAATAAGACAGAGAGGGACTTGGAGGATTAGAGCATGACTGAATAACGAAATGGCTCACATAACATTAATATTGCTTTTTGGTTCTATTTTGTTTTTCTTTTAAATTTCAATCCCCGAGGGGTTAACCCTCCATTATCAATCAGATTTTTTCAAAATCAATAGACCTCTTCTTCTTATAGGGATTGATATGTCCTAAAAATTTTAAGTTGATAATGTTTTTCGTTTGTAATTAATTTTTTTTTTTTTTTATTTTAACCCTCCTCAATCCCTCATTTTTAATCAGATTTTTTTCGTTCTATTGTAGAGCTTGATTTTCCTGAAAATTTCATGTTGATATTGTTTTTCGTTATTGTTTTAATTCCCTTTTAGCCCCTTCATTTTTATTCAGATTTTTTGAAATCAATAAGCTTTGTCCCCTTATAGAACTTGAGTTTTAATAAAAATGTCATGTTGATATCGCTTTTCGTTGTTAATTTATGATTTCTTTTTAATTTCAACCTCTCTTAACCCCCCTATTTTTGATAAGATTTTTTTAAAAATCAATAAGCATCGTCCCATTGTAAAGCTTAATTTTTCCTGAAAATTTCAAGTTTAGATTAATTTTTCCTTAAAATTTTAAGTGCATATCATTTTTCACTTTTCATTTTTGACTTATCGTGCGGACAATAAATGTGACATCGGACGGATAGACGGATTATATTAATATAATCCCAGCTTGCATTTTAAATACAATTTCTTACAGTATTGTTAAATAGTTAAACACCTTCCCTACATTGCTTACAGAATCAATAAAACTCAAATTAATATTCAGAAGTGCATTGTATGAACTTGATATGTTCACACTCATAGCAGTATTTTATTATCCATGACGAATAACATAAATATTTTAAACCGTATATCTCGTGACAAGAACCATATCACATTCCGGCAAGCGATCTTTAAAAATGCAACACACCGAATAAAAATAAAATAAGAACATCTCGTTAAAAATTGAAAACCCTTAAACTCACGTTTTCGAAAGAAGATACCTCGAATCCAGAATACTGCAATGTATAACACAGAGCTCTGTCCTTGACGTTACACTGTTGCTTCACCACGGTAAGTTGTCGCGATATTTCATGCAGTTTTTCCTCTAAGACGATTCCTGCGATTTTGGCTGCTGTACAGTCGGTAAAAAGGTCGGAAACCATCGAAGTTACTTGCGATGTTGCTGGAAAAATAGGTTAAAAAAAATTATACAATGAAGTGACATTATAGTATGGTCTTATTCATCGATATAGAATAAAGTAGATAGATGGAAGCACATCAAGTGACTTAAAGGTGTAATGAAAATGGCAACTTGAGTCGTACTTTGATTTATTTGAAGACAATAATTTTATATTTCAAGACTGACGAAATAAAAATGGTTTTATAACATTAAATTGAAGCTATTAAAAAAAAATTGAATTTATTCTCACCAAAACTGACTAACTTCTCACTATCTCGAGTTTGACATATTATTATGACGCAAAAGTGTAATGCAAAGAAGTGTACACTTCAGCATCCGTCATAGCATCTCGTCTTTATTCTATTTTAATGGTCTCATTTGTAGTAAAATCGCTTTAGAAATTAATTCTGTAGGGACTAAGTGTCACAAGCTGAATTGTTAGTGAATTAAAAACTAATATTTTGGAGCTGCTGAAACCGAAAGTAATCCATAATTAGACTGTGCAGAAGAGCACTATTTTCAAGAAACGACATATTTGTACCATTGCATAGAGCGTAAGGTGTACTACAAAGTTTTTTAAACAAAAAAGTTACTCTTTATAAAATTTTCTAAAATGTGTATAGTTTATAATAGGATCAACCATATTTTGTCTACTGTCAGGCCAGAATAATAAAAACTACCGTCAGGCCAGAATATTGTATCTTGCTTTTTATTATTCTGCTATTACCTACACGACCAAGTAATACCGCCTGTAGTCAATTTTTTCCTCTTACACCATTGGAATATTTAACTGTCTGCTACTGCTTATTTTGTAAAGCAACACTGTCTGTAATAGCTACCTTAATAATTTTGTGTAATATGTATTCAGTTACTAATAGTAATTAAAAAAAAAAAATTCTACCTAATTTCCTAGTTAACATAATTTTCTCTATACATTTCTCTTTATTTGTTAGTATAATTTTGGATAAGTATTAGAAACTATCTAGTTTGCAATTACCGATTTAGGAGGGTGTCCAAATTATATTAATAAATTTGTTTTTTTTTCTATTTTCTTTTTATTTGCTTATACAAATGCCTATACAAATTTTTGAAACTAAGACGTCAGTTTGCATTTACCATATTAGGAGAGTGTATAGAAATATATTTTTAATTTTTTCTTGCTATTGAATCTTAGTGCAGTGATTTATTCCTACTTTTTATTAAATTTAGTAAATTAAATTCTACATTTTCTTTAGATTTTGAATTTCTTCCCTTTATAATTTGTTCTTTATTATGACTATTTAATTGAAACATTTATTAGGAATTTTTGTTTTCTTAATTGGTGGTAAATTTATATATTGTTATTGAACTTGAGTAATATTTAAAATGTTTTGAACATGATTATCTTTGCCTTAAATTCTGTCTTAAAATACTTAAGTTGACTTTGAACTATAATATCAAGCATTTCGTGTTTTTCTTTATATGGTTAAGTAGCTCACAATTGCATAACTAATTGATCCCGAACCAACTTAAAATTATATTTTAATACAGGTAGTAGAAGTTTGTATATCTTTATTTTTTTTTTTTTTAATTATAATTTGAGAATTTATGCTTTTAGCAATATCATTGGATACCTCTGTTTTCACTTTATATTGAAAATAATTTAGTTGAGTATTGCAAAATTTTATATTTTGGTTACAGATAACTTACATTATTATATTTTTTTACCTAACTTTATTATTTTGTATGTACCTTTTGGAGGTTTACACTGAGAAAAGTGACAGCATTACAAAGATATTTCGTATACCTTACCTGTACTGACTAAAGTGTGTACATTATTTAACTTGATTTTCATAATTTATATTATATATCTTTATTTACTAGTTATGTGCGTGTGTTATTTATCGTTTAATAATATTATTTGTACCTTTAGTACATAATGTACTATGTTTATTGAATATCAAGATATTTATCTTTGATTTGAAATGGTTCACCTTTACTTAGTTATGATATATGCAAATATAGTTCAATGATCATTCTTTCTAGCTTACCTTACATTACCTTAACTACCTTGTCAGTTACTATCTACTATTGCTTTTAGTAGTTTTCTTCTTTTGCTTTAATAACAATTTATCTTCCCCTGATTGTGACATTTATATGGTACAAGAGTGCCGATTTAAATTTAACATCAATTTTTTCATTTTAATCAAAATTTTTTTAAACAAGCACTTAAAGCTGAATTAGTAAATCTTCCTAGTTGTAAATTTTTAGTCCTTAAGGGCTTCAGTCAAAATTTCAATTGTTTTCAAAAAAAAAATTTTTAGTAATAGGTCTTAGTTAGTAAGTTCAACAACCACTTTCTATTTTAGGAGCATCACTAAATATGTGTCTCAAGTCCCTTTATTTTATGTATTAATTTTTTTCTCTTCTTTTTTTTTGTTACACATGAATACTTAGTAATCTGAGTATTTACTGAGCAAGAGCCCGCGACGGCCAGGCCTTAGTTAAATAATAAAATCTAAAAGTTTATCTGTGTATGTCCACTATACAGGTAAGAACGATCCCATGCTATGAAACTCGGGTTGTGCTGGCTTTGGTAGGTAACAGGTAGTAAAGGTGTGTAAAATTGTGTCTCAAATTTAGTATAGTATAAAGCTTAGTTTCACATATTTTATTTGTGATAATCTGAGAAATCGCCTCGTCCACACTTAGTACAGTTGCAACCTCCTGCCAGACACCCTTAAAGTAGGGTTGATTTTAATTATACTTAAGTTATAGCATAAAAGCTGAATTTTATATATGTTACTTGGAGAATTATAAAATGATGTTTTCTTAGTAGCCAGGCAGTTTCGATAGTTCTCCTATATGGCCAGACACATTCAAGATCTATTGTAGGTGCGAGCGCGAGGGATATATGCGTAAGCGGGTGCGAGTGAGATAGTGCGTTCGGTCCACGGCGATCTTTTACTGCGCATCAGCTGTCGTTTATTCTATATAGTGTTATACGTGCAGCAAACGTTTTAATATTTATTTGTGCAGTTTTTATAAAATAAGTGTGATCCAGTTGTAATAATAAAGTGTTGTCATGGAAAAGAAAAGCAATAAATTATTTTGTTTGTTTGTAAAAAAAGCGATGGCAAAATAACATTATTTTCTAAAGAGACCTTAAAAAAATGCCACACCATCTTGAAATTGAGGAAAAACATAACCTCAAATACAAAAACATTATTTTGCCTGATGAATATACAGATGGAGGATATTACCGGGAGTGTTATAAAGCGTTCACAGGACTCTTCTGAACCTGTACGTTCAAAAAAAAGTGCAAATGAACAATTTACCAGTTTAATTGCAGACAACTTATCTCCAGTCACACCGTTGACACCTGAGTTGACTACAGACTTATCGTCTATGCTTTGTGTCAGAGAAAGTGACATTGTGATTTCAAAGACAGCGACGAATAGGTCACTTATATTTTAATTAATCTCGGTCATCCGAAGTATTAAATTATATTTATTTATTTTAATAACCGTCTGATTTTATAAGGTACGTTTTGTTAATAATATGTTATTCAATATATATTTTTGTTCGATGATTTCTCGAGCGATTGTCAAATTTTATACATAAACTCTACATCCGAATAACACATGTTAGCTCTATATAAAATTATATTTTATTTTTTGGAATAAGATATTATGCTTTACTATATTTTTTTCATATTAATTTTAGTCTTTATGAAAATATTCATTTAATAGTTGAAGCATTTTATTTAAATCCTTTTCAAATTTCCATTTATCTATCATAACATCTTAAACCTTTTTAGCTCATCTCTAAACCGTTCAGGTTCGAATATTCTTGAAGATCGTTCGAGTTCGAGTACAAGTAAGAATCATTTAATTTGAAGAACGTCCGAGTTCGATTACAAATAAGAATCTTTTACCTTGAAGATCATTCACAGTTACAAATGAGAATTATGAATAAGAATCCCAAATCACTTAGTAGAAGTTACCTGACTGGTATATTATGTTTGGATATTGATGTACATCTGTAGTTAGAGACGAAGGAAGAAATACCTGATTTTACTTTTAACTTACCGTATATTACCTTATTTACCTACAGATGAGTGCAATTGATTTAATCAACAAATTCTTTTAAATTTGAATTATGTGCAACCTTATGTGTATTAGAATTGGATACCTACCTTATCTAAAGCATATTTTAAGTATAATTTGTTAGTGGTTAGTAATTTACTATATTTCTATCACTAATCTAGAGTTAAGTGTATAATCTTTAAATATAGTGGTGCCCGACTTCTTTTTCAAAGTTATTCGAGTTATTTAAAAACCTAACCCACGCCCTATAAATTGAGCTCAAACACATATATAAAAGTAGATAAAATAACCATGTATTCATATTACAATTTTTGTTTTATAATAATCAACATAGGGTAATTAATATAAAACAAATTAATTAAAACGGCAGCTATGAGTGATCTACCTTCGGCTAACGGTGTCTCCTTCCGTATAGCTTTGTATATCCATCTTAGTTGTTCCTATAATTGTAAACACATGTCTCTCTCTCTCTCTCTCTCTCTCTCTCTCGCACTACGATACTAGCACTAGCACATCTTACAATATTATCATATTATCACTTATAATACCACTGGTGCCTTAATTATTTCCAGAAATGTTTCGAATATTTTCAAAATTATTCCTCGTCTTCAACTCAAAGCAATTTTCTTAAAATATTCGTGAGTGAGCAAAAATTTCCTGATTACAATAATTAAGGCACGTGTAGTGTAGTATTCGGTAAAAAAATTACACCAATATATCAAAATTTCAAAAGTTTGACATACATGCACTGAAATGATTTAAATCAAATTTGCAAAATTGGCTATACCATGGCCATTTGTCATATTTGAAGTCGTTTAGTTGACGTGAAAAACCTAATTATTATTTTACTTAAAATAAATATTATGAATTTCCATCTAGTTATAATTGGTATTAAATAAAATAATAACCACTGAA